CCTCCTCATCATCATCCTCTGCTCACTTTCACCGCGCGTCACCAGTATCATCATCATCATCATCATCATCATCATCATCATCATCATCATCATCATCATCATCATCATCACCGTCATCGTCATCGTCATCGTCATCAGCATCAGCATCAGCATCATCAGTATCATCAGCATAATCAGCATCACCACCAGCATCGCCATCCTCATTATCATCAGCATCATCATCACCATCAGCATCAGCATCAGCATCAGCATCATCATCAGCATCGTTATCATCAGCATCATCAGCAGCAGCATAAACGTCATCATCCTCATCATCATCATCATCTTCATCATCAGCAGCAGCATCAGCATCAGCAGCATCATCATCATCCTCAGCATCAGCAGCAGCAACATCAGCAGCAGCATCAGTATCAGCAGTAGCACCAGCATCATGATCAGCATCAGCATCGGCATGATTATCATCGTCGTCATCATCGTGATCATCATCATCATCAGAAGCATCATCATCACCGTCATCGTCATCGTCATCGTCATCAGTATCAGTATCAGCATCATCAGTATCATCAGCATAATCAGCATCACCACCAGCATCGCCATCCTCATTATCATCAGCATCATCATCATCACCATCATCATCAGCATCAGCATCAGCATCATCATCAGCATCGTTATCATCAGCATCATCAGCAGCAGCACAAACTTCATCATCCTCATCATCATCATCATCATCAGCATCTTCATCATCATCAGCAGTATCAGCATCAGCAGCATCATCATCATCCTCAGCATCAGCAGCAGCAACATCAGCAGCAGCATCAGTCTCAGCAGTAGCACCAGCATCATGATCATCATCAGCATCGGCATAATTATCATCGTGGTCATCATCGTCGTCAGCATCATCGTCACCATCATCATCATCACCATCATCAGCATCGTCATCAGTATCAGCATCAGAATTAGCATCATCATCATCGGCATGAGCACCTTCATCATCATCAGCAGCATCATCAGCAACATCATCATCGTCATCAACATCATCGTCCACATCCTGATCCTTGTCATCCTCCTCTTCCTCCTCCTCCTCCTCATCCTCTGCTTACTTCTACCGCGCGTCACCAATTTCTCCCCGCTTGGAAAGCGATTGCTATATGATCAAGGGGCACAAATGACAACCCTCGGGGCGCTCAGACATAGATTCATATGTTACGGTCTCCTCAAGTCTGGTATCATGTGACGCCCATGTCGCCAGTGCAGAAATGAAATGTTACATCATGCGGCCCTCTGGGATCTAGGGACGAGAGGTGCCGCGGCTTCCGGCTCCCCGGGTTCCGAGGAAGAGTTCTGTCAGATCGAACGGCCTTCTCGCTCGTGCGCGAGAGCGTGTCACACGGTACAGCCCCCCGAAGTGACGAGAGCTGTCACAGGCTACTGACGACAAAGCGGTTCTCGAAGACCCGCCGACGGGATTGCCGCAGGCACCTGGATATGACGATATCACGGGCAAGCTCATGTGTGTCTTTGATGCCCCAGCAACTTTTTGAAATTCGGAGAAGTACCTCGATGATAAGCGAGAGTTGATGAATCGTTTGCTCAAGTTCCACATTTCATGCTCATCTGGTGTTGAATCAAAGAGGGCGCTTCTGAGCTCGCAATCGTATTGGCCAAATGCGAGGCCATTGTAATACAATTTGTATTGGAACTCGACCTCAAAGAATGGGCTATTCTCGGGCATGTTTACTGTAAATCCTCCCACTGTCTTCCAGGCCGACTTCCGTACCCATTGCGTGGATGCGCTCCAGCCAGGTGTGAGATAAGAGAATCGACGCTTAAGGAAATTGTTGCGCCGCGCAAAATTGTACGCCTCCACATTGTCTCGGTGCGTGATTCCAGAATACACTTCCTCAGTGGAACCACAATCGTAGTTTCCACAACAATCATCTCCCGTTCGCGTTTCTGGGTACTTGTTTCTCCGCTTTGGTGATAAATCGTCAGTGCCGATTTCACGCGGCTTGCCAATATCAATAAACCCATGGGAACACACCAAACTGCCTAAGTTCGGATTTGCGCCTAGTAGTTCCCTTGCGTGGCTCTTCCATAAGTCAATGGTATTGTCGGGCGCACCAGCTGGCATCTCGTCGTCACGCAAAAGGCAAACGATTGCATTGGCCTTTTTGACATGATCCATGCCAACATTGAACGCTTCGTGTTCTGCCAAGTGTGTATCCACTTCAACTATCGTAACATATCCTGGCAATGATGTCTGCGTGGTGCATCCATTCAAAAACACGATTTGCGATCCCTCCGAATTGAGCGCTGTACAAAGATTGTATGCGTTATCACACGCGCCAACGCCATGGATCACAAAAGCCATTGGTGGAGACTGATCAACTGAGCAATCAGGAGCTTGCACTGCTTTTTGAACAAGTGGGACAAGCTCACTAATATCACGTGGTTGTACAGCGACGTTCGTCAGCTTCAATGCGCTACATCGCAACAACAGGCATAGCACAAGCAGCCTGCGCATGTTACTAGTATACGCCCTCAGGCTCAATCAAAGAACTTATGGATGGAACAAAACCCGTGCAATCAAATATGTAACATACAATGCAGAGTGCGTTGAGGCATACTTGATTGAACCAAGATTGGGCCACAAATGGTACTGCATTGAATCAAGGTTCGATGTGTGTTCTAAACGTTTTCCCACTGGAAACAACTAGGAAAAAACTGGCCGGACAAGAACGGAAAGCGTCGCTTTAGTCCCCCAAGCATGTGGAAAATGCTCTGTTGTTGTTATGCCGCGCAGGTATGCCGTGGCGCGCATGTCGGCGTGCGTGCGGGGTGTGTTTTGTGCTCCTGTGTGTTCTGCCGTGCTCCTGTTCTGCCGTGCTTCTGTGTTCTGCCGTGCCTCTGTGTGCTCTGTGTGTTCTGCCGTGTTCCTATATCTGCCGTGCGGATCGTCGCGGTGGTCGTTTAGGCAGAGCTTCTGGGCGCACACGGCAGAAAAAGATGATGAGCACGGCAGAATAGGCCCCAAGAGCGAAGGAGCACGGCAGAGAAAGACAAGGAACACGGCAGAATAGACCCCAAGAGCAAATGAGTACGGCAGAATACACCCCAAAAGCTAAGGAGCACGGCAGAAAATGACCAGGAGCACGGCAGAATAGACCTCAAGAGCTAAGGAGCAGGCAGAAAAAGACCAGGAGCACGGCAGATTAGGCCCCAAGAGCGAAGGAGCACGGCAGAAAAAGACCAGGAGCACGGCAGAATAGACCCCAGGAGCTAAGGAGCAGGGCTGGATATGCCTCAAGTGCGAAGGAGTACGGCAGAGAAAGACCAGGAGCACGGCAGGATAGACCCCAAAAGCTAAGGAGCACAGCAGAGAATGACCAGGAGCACGGCAGAATAGGCCCCAAGAGCGACTGAGCACGGCAGAAAAAAAAACAGAAGCACGCCAGAGTAGACCCCGAGAGCTGAAGGAGTGCGGGAAAATAGACCCCAAGAGCGAAGGAGCAAACCAGAAAAAGACGAGGAGCACAGCAGAATAGAACCCAAAAGACACGGAACACGGCAGAATATGCCCCAAGTGCAAAGGAGCACGGCAGAAAAAAAGTAGGAGCACGGCAGACAAAGACCAGGAGCACAGCAGAATAGGCCCCATGAGCGAAGGAGCACGTCGGAAACAAACCAGGAGCATGGCAGAATAGACTCCAAGAGCTGCCGAGCACGGCAGAAAAAGACCAGGAGCACGGCAGAATAGACCCCAAGAGCTAAGGAGCACGGCATAATAGGCCCCAACAGCGAAAAAGGCGCCAGAAAAAGACCAGGAGCACGGCAGAACATGCCCCAAGAGCTAAGGACGACGGCAGAAAAAAACCGAAACACAGCAGAAAAGGCCCGAGGAGCCAAGGAGTACGACAGAAAAGACCAGGAGCACGGCAGAATAGGCCCGAAGAGCGAAGGAGCAAACCAGAAAAAGACGAGGAGCACGGCAGAATAGAACCCAAGAGACAAGGAGCACGGCAGAAGATGCCCCAAGTGCGAAGAAGCACGGCAGAAAATGACCCGGAGCACGGCAGAATAGACCCCCAGAGCTCAGGGGCACGGCAGAAGAAGACCAGGACCACGGCAGAATAGACCCCGGCAGAAAAAGACCAGGAGCACGGCAGAATAGGCCCCATGAGCGAAGGAGCACGGCAGAAAAAAAACAACGAGAACGGCAGAGTAGACCCCAAGAGCTGAGGAGCACGGCAGAAGAGGCCCTAAGAGCGAAGGAGCATGACAGAAAAAAAACAGGAGCACGGCAGAATAGACCCCAAGAGCTGAGGAGCACGGCAGAATAGGCGCCAGGAGAGAAGGAGCATTGCAAAACACGACCAGTGACCAGGAGCACGACAGAATAGACCGCGAGAGCTAAGGAGCACGGCAAGATAGATGCAAGAAAACACCATAATACGCCCCAAGTAAGAAGGAGCACGCAATAAAAACACAAGGAGCACGGCAGAATAAACCCCGAAAGCGAAGGAGCACGGCAGAATATGCCCCAAGAGCTAAGGAGCACTGCAGAAAACGACCAGGAGCACGGCATCATAAGCCCCAAGAACAAAGGATTGTGACAGAAAATGGCCAGGAGCATGGCAGAATAGGCCCGTAGAGCGAAGGAGGACGGCACAAAAAAAAAAAACGAGCATTGCAGAATAGACCCCGTGACCGAAGGAGCACGGCAGAACTGCTCGTTCTTTGCCTTGCTCTTTTTTCGCCGACCATGCTCCGTCCGATTTTTTGAGGATGCATGCAGCGAGAGCGCGATTTTCAACACGAGAGGTAGTAAAAACGCCACTCCAAGATATATTTGTTGTTGGGATGTCTCAGGCGAGACACCCGTTTTTGAACATCTGTCGAACTCGCGGCTCCCATGTTTAACGGATGTCTCAAGCGAAGAAGCTCTCCGGGAAAAAACTGCCCCCAGGTTGACACTGGCGCCGGCGGTGAACCGTCAACCTGGTCTTTTGCGGTCTTTTGCGGACGGTCGATTCGAGCCTCCACGGAGGCAGACCGAAGCACAAAGCAACTCAGAACTGAGCCTGAGAGCAAAACGCTGAGCGCACTAACAGCGAAGCTGTACAGCAAAGCCCAAGAGCGTAAATCCCACTAAAGTAAACACAAAAAGATGGTGAAAGAAGCTGTACGAGACAGCAAGAAGCAGTGAGAGACCATACAGTAACCACTGGTTTATACAGCGATTACCGTCTCAACACCACTGAGAAAAATACGAAACTAAGAGAACTAAGATAGCAAGTGCGCTTTGACACCAACCTGGTCACCGCCGGGAACCTCGTAGAGCTCCTTGCACGCGTAGGAGTGCTCAGAATCGAAGCAGACAGCTTCTCGGAGCATTTCTAGAAAAAACGTCAAATTTTACATTTTTCGGTGTCAACCTGATGTTGGTTCCTCCAAATGTTTCGATAGTAGAACTCTCTCTAGAGAGCTGATTATCTCGCAATATAAAGTTTAAACACTACTGCTGGACGCAAAAATCTGGTTTATCATGATGAATGGTCAAATTTAGCAAAACCGACCCGAAGTTACCACATTGTTCGCCCGGGCCGGGTCGACCAACTAGCTCTACCCCGCGCCGGAAATCCTCTAGTTCATCGATGACGAAGAGCTCTACGAGGTACTTGGTAGCTTCCAACTGGGAGCCGGCGGTGAACCGTCAACCAGGTTACCGCCGGACCCCTCGTAGAGCTCTAGAGACCAAATCAGTTCCAGATAAGAGGAGAAAAACGCTCGTGAATATAAGCTTACAGAATGAAGAATTTTTTCCGCGTTTTACACAGCGTCGGTGCCTCCTAGTCTTTCGATCGAAATAATGCAGCTAGAGCCCTGAGAATTGCATCATCGAACGCGCCATGATCGACAGCAGAGAACAAAAAAATGCATTCCCAAAACGAATCTCAAAATCTCTCACAATATCTGAGGAGGGGGAAAAAAAAAAAAAAACAAAAAAAAAAAAAAAAAAAAAAAAAAAAAAAAAAAAAAAAAAAAAAAAAAAAAAAAAAAAAAAAAAAAAAAAAAAAAAAAAAAAAACGACCCCACGTCATCACATTGTCCGCCCGGGCTGGGTTGGCCAACTGGGAGCTGGCGGTAAACCGTCAACCAGTTTACCGCCGGGAGCCTCGTAGCGCTCATTCTCTCGCGCGGAGGTGCTCAACACATGGAGGGAGCTCTCTCAGGCGAGAGCTGAAAAACTCGAAACAACACGTTTTTCGGCGGTTTTCATCCAAAGTCGATTTCTTCAAGTGTCTGGATAGTAATAGTGCTGCTACGGACCTGAGAATTTCACTGGCGGGCGCGGCATAACCCACTACAGGTGCGAAAAACACTGGTTCCCAAAATGAACCGTCAAATCTCTCACAGTGTTCAAAAAACCGACGCCAGGTCATCACATTGTCCGTCTGGGCTGGGTGGGCCAACTAGCTGCACCCCGCGCCGGAATTCCTCTAGCTCATCGACTGGGAGCCGGCGGTAAACCGTCAACCTTGGTTTTTTGCGCATTGCGTGTCGCCACAGCAGGGTCGGGTCACCGCCCAGGCGATAGCCACACAAGGAGGCCTAGTATCCTGCCAAACGCAAGCATTCCTCCACTCCCAAAAGGAGTTGTCGGGCAGACTCTAACTCAGCCGCAGTGATAGTGCTCGAGGGGGGGAGGAGGAAAGAGGATGAAGCCACGTCGGGCTCCCACATACCACTCGGGAGAAGGGCAGGATAGCCAACTACAGAAGAGGAGCACACATGAAAATCAACCTGCCAGCCGCAGCCTACGCCCAGGTAAGATCTTCCACCATCGAAGCTTCCCCGAACAGCGTCGATCAGAATAGCGTTAGCTTTAACATGGGATAGGAAATCATGCCTAAAACGTATTCTACAAATTCCCTGACGAGCTCTGTGTGTTAACTCGTCCGCAGCAGTATTGTCTTCCCTGTACACCCACTTGAAGATATGTCTCCCAAGAGAGGCTGCCTGCACACCACATCTCTTAGCTAGAGTGTCTAAAGTATTCTGAATACCGCCCACAATTTTGTCGTAGTTCACATTAGCAGTAAAGTACAGGCCTTGAATCCACCGCACAACACATTGAGAGTCACCCTTCAGTTCAACGGCGAGCTTACCTGCCTGGAACTCCCACTCCGTGTCATCCTCCAATATCTTAGCATAAAGTTTGGACACCACCTCCTCCTTCTTTCTGCTGAGCTCCTCCGAAAGCATCTCCTCCTCCCTCTCCTCCATAGGCTTCCAAGGAACCGGATCTTTAAGAACCAGAAAAACCAGAAACACCTGGAACCTGGAGTAGCGTAAAACTTCACGAGCAAACTTGACCCAAGCCGCCTCCGTCCATTCAAGAACATGGTACCAGTATTTCCCTCCCACAAGCTCGAATGGTGTTCTCCACGGGCGCATGCCAATAGGAACGCGTCCAGTCCTCGCACGAGCCCCAGCCCGTCCAGCTTGACTGCCCAGAGAAAATACAAGATCATCCCGCCTGGATTCCCACTCCCCTCCACCGTGCAACATGGACAATCGTGCCTGCAGGTAGCCGTTGACAGCAGTGCCCATGTCCACCACCGTGGGCTGATTGTAGAAACGGGTTGGGTCCTCGAACCTGTCTCTAAGCCTCGCCGTGTTCTGTGAAAGTTGGGTCCTCCGACGTTTGGCCTCGTTCATGCACATCGTCTTTCTTTTCCGTCGTTTCATTGGCTCAGAAGGAGTCGCATTACAAGCAGAAGCACCAGGAGCATACATAGGAGACGGCACCTGCAGTGAGCCACCCACAACAGAAGCCTCCTCCGAGTCACCACCGTCTCTGCAAACAAGACGATGCAATATCCTTTGCCCATCTCCACTGCCGGTGCAAGAAGACTTGTGCCAGTGGAGGTCTGCCAGAGCCACATAAAGCTTGCCTCCCTCTTCTGTACATGCGTGACACGAATACAGCCCACCCCTCCTCCTCCCTCTTAGCTCTCCACGTCATCCTGCTAAACATCTCCCCCTCCTGCTCATGTATGAATACAACCGTTGAACTGTCTACCGTGGCTCCTTCCAGACCAAAAAGAAACTTAGACCTCACTCTCGACTCGTATCGTTTAAAATTATTATTCCAAGCAATCCTCCTAGAGGTGTAGAAACCACGATCATTCCAGAAAGCACGAACAGCCTTACCCATTCGGTATCGTACATCATCATGATCCTTGAAATTCCTCGCAATCATCGCCCCGAGCACAACAATCTCATCCACCTGCGGAATGGTAAAGCTGCCAGGGAGATAAACATTGGGCTTTCTGGTCATGCCTGGCGGGAACAACGTCACCATGAGAGGCTCCGTCACACCGACGGTGGCGCCCACGCCCATGAACTCCAGACTACGCTGCTTCCATCGAAAGCCATGATCATGGAGAGCCCACGTTAACTGTAAAATCATAGTTGCCAATGTGGGGCGATCAGGAGCCGTAAGAAGCACATTGTCCGCCAATATGAAGTGACTCACAACAATACCTCCAGCGTCGCTGGAGAGTCTGACACCCACAGCATCTCTCGCCAAAGCAGAAGTAGCATCACCGAACATGACCAATGATTGAGCTGTCCACAGGTCAGGTCCCCCCTTGGAACCTGTCTTAACACACGTTGTCCAGGGGAGCGCGTCAGTGCAGACACCCTCAAATTGGAAGACCGCCTCATTGCCGACAGACTTCTCAATAAGACCATACCGAAGCTCAACATCCACACCCAGACGCTCAAGCGTAGAAGAAGCAACTTGGACAGTGAGCGAATCAAATGCAGTGGCAACATCCAAAGAAGCAAAAACGATATTCTCCTCCTTCCCCCACAACCTGGCACGTCTACACATCGCCTTCAAACCCGACGTCACCTCATGTGTCTTACGACCTTGCTGAAAGCCATACAAGCACAGAGACGGAGCAACAACGGGAGCAATAGACACCAAGTGCGAATTGAGTAAAATACACAAGCAGCCCATATACCATGTGTTAACAACAGAATTCACAGCAAGAGTACGACTCCCATCAAACTTCTTTTCCTTCCCGCTCTTCAACATAATAGACGCACGAATAAACTTCCAAGATTCAGGTGCCTCCGTCATTCGCCAGAAGCGCCGCTGGAAGCAGTCAAGCACCACACGTAGGGCTTCCCAGGACAGAGAACGTAACACGCGTGCACTTATCCCATCAGCACCTACAGCTTTGCCTTCCCGAAGCCTCGAACGAGCACGACAGAGAACATGCATGGTAATAGGAGAAGAAGTGTGAGTGCTGCACGCGCGCGCCACATCAGCTTGAACCCGAAGCTGCTCCAGAGTCGCCCAGTTCATAACAAGACGGTCCGACTTAGAGTACTTAGCCCTGACCACCCTCGTCATATCCTCCTTCCACTTACTGCGATCTTCACACCATTCCCCGTCGATCATCATAGAGTTAGCAACAGTCTTAGTCTTGACCCCATCCCGATAACGATAAAGAAGTAGACGTTTCCTGAACTGCCTTCGAACACGATTCCAACGACGACGACTATCCTTGAACGTGTCCTCATCGATCTGACCGGATTTCCAGAGTTTGCGAACCCTGTAGTGGGCCTCTTTCACCTGAGCCTCCTCCTGGGTCAACTTCGGGACGAGCGAAGACGATTTAAAGCCATAGCAGCGTTTATCGGCAATAGCCCCCTCCTTCAATCGTGATTCCAAGTGGGCTAGAGAAATAGATCTCCACCTAGTATGCCAGATCACCCCTCCCTCAGACTCCTCCGTGCAGTACTGATTTTTGCGTTTGTTATTTCGGCCACTCCCCCCACCTGATTTCCACCAGGCAACCTGCGTTACAGCCATGTCAAACTCTCTGCACTGCTTCACCTCCTTATCCTCCTGCACAAACCACGAAGCGAACGATCGACTGCCAGCGGCCTTCGTCCTACCAGAAGACTTTTCCTGCAGCGAACAAGGGAGAACAAAACATATCATCTTGTGGTCACTCCATTCCGTGTCACGAGAGCCAGGAGGATGCGCATACATAACGCGCAACTTCGAACACATAACATGTGTCTCCCAAGCCACAGGGCACGCAACATAATCAATGAGGTGTTTTGTCCTAGCACCTCCACCACACCAGGTAGACTCACGATCCAGGAATGTGTTAATCAGCTTCAGACGTAGCTGGGCCATACAGATACACCAGGCACGCGCACATGCACCCTGCAACGCCTTCCTGCCAAAGCCCCCCTCCTCCCTCACCGTACGCACATGCACACCACCACCAGAGATACGAAGCCGATCAATCTCTACATGAGGCTGCACTTCAACATTGGCGTCGGCGCACACGACAAAATCACGGATACTGTACTTTTGACGCATGCGCTCCACAGCACGAGATAACTCAAGAAGAACGTTCTGGCACAAATGGAACGTGGCCTGATACCCCTGAGACGTTGTCCCAAAGAAGCCTCGATGAGGAAGATACACGCTAGCATAGATGAATGCGCCCACTTCTGGCCAACGGAAGGCACAGACCGCAAATCTTCTACCAACAGCGTGCCCCAAGAAACAGGAGCTAAGAGTAGACGAGAATAGTACGCCTGCTTGGCCCTCCGTCGAACCACTGTCAAGCTTCACCTCAGTCGAGCAGCGATAGTGGAAACCAGCATCATTCAACGCCCCACGTCTGAGGAACTGGCACTCCTGGAGCCCGACGAGTTGCACCCCAAGCTCACGCAAGTAAGGAAGAGCAGATAGAGCAGTAGCATCACTCATCATTCTGACGTTCCAACTAGCCGCCCTCAACGGGCGCGTACGACGTCATACAGAGTCACCATTCAGCAGCGTCTGCCAGGGCCCAGGGAGGATCTTGTCGTCGAACTCAATCACCGATTCTGGCCTCAGAGTCCAACCATGCCTGGGGTCCCAAGTTCCCAAACAGATCTGCCCACCGGTTTCAGGATAGTCCCAAGCCCAAGACATCTCAGGAGACCCATACTGAATACGGACACGATTGTTCTTCTGCAACGGGTTCCTCACACGAAAGTATGCAGCTGTAAGTTTATGCCTGCACTCACCTGTCCCTCACGCCAAAACTCACACTGTACACGTGTACTGATGTACGACTGGGTAGCAGCAAGAAGAGTGTCATCTTTCCAAAGAGAGCCCGTGCGCGAGGAGATGGCCTTCCAGAACGCCTCCCTGACCTTCCAGACTGCATCCTTACTCGTGCCGTGTACGAAGAAAATACGCAGCGTAAAAACACCAAACGGATTGCCCTGGAACTCTCTCTTAGTGGCCTCACGATCGAAGATCTTCACATCAGCCTCAAACTGCGAGCCAACTTCATCCGAGAGAATCTGGATAACTCTGGTGGCCCTGGCCTCGGACATGATGTTACTCGTACGAGCCTGAACGTCTCGAGGGTCTCCCGAGGTCCAGTCCGAGAGCGTAACGTAACCAGGGACAAGTGGGGGTCTCTTCCTACTGCCTGCATTGCCTCCGAGGCTCACCCGAGTAGAAACAGAGGCAGCATCACTGGCCGCACCATCATTCCCTACCGTCGCCAACTGCTTCTGAACCCGAGCATTCACCACCTCCTGCTGCTGCTGCTGCCTCACCACCTGCTTAAGTTGTTCAAGGTCAGACTTCAAGGGTGCTACCTCCTGCTGAATCTCCCTCCTCACCTCCTCCTTATGCTCCGTCAGGGTACATTTGAGCATGTCAGCCAAATTCTGGAACTCATTACGCAATAGGCCAATCGTGACAGGTTCTTTGTCATCTGAAGCGCCCTTACCACCCATCCCAGCACGTGCCATCTTGGAAGACGTGGAAGCATCCCCCGCCTCGTCCCTCTCACTGATCTGCTTCATGGA